AGGCACCAAAACCCTGCTCGGGGAGGAATCACAAGAGATGTCCCATCCTCCAAGGCCACAACCAGAGCTGCATCTTCTCGGGCAAGCAGGAAAATCCAACCCCCAGATGCGATTCCTGGAGCCCCCCAAGACCCCTCCTCATCAAACACCTTCATTTTCTCCAAAGCTTTGCCTCTCCACCATTCCCCACGAGTGGGGAGCACTTCCCACCACCACTTCTCCAAGGTCCATGTGCAGCTTTGTCCCCCTCAGCCCCGTGTCAGGGCTGGAGGAAGGCTGGGAGAAATCACATTTCCCCAAGAAATTCTGGGAAAAGCACTCCTGCTTTTAATGAGAAGACTTTTTTTTTCCCCCCTCTGCTCTCTTCCACAGCCAAGCTAATAAAAATGGAAAGCACTAAGAAATTCCAGCAGAAGGGAGGTGTGGGGGAGGAGCAAAGGGAAGATCCCACTCATTTAAGCCTATCCTAAGCAGAAGATAATTAGCCACATATATCCCAGAAAGAATAGCAACAGTATAGGCAATTATTGGGAATGCACACTTTAAGAGCATTTGCCAAAAATGCCTGTTTTTATTAAAAAGGAATGGTTTCACAAAGGCCCAACTGTAAGAAAGGTTGTAATTTGCCCAAATAAAACTTAATTTGATCCATGAAATAGCTGCGGTTTATTGTGTAATATATGTGCTATGTGTTTTAATTTAATAGAATCCAATATAATTGTAAGCCAGTTGAGTTTCAGAGCAATTTTGGGTTGTTCCCACAGTGTGCAGAGCACAGATGCCACTTTGTGCATCACACCAGCACATCCATAAATCAGGAATATAGGAAGGATTATCCACGAAGCAGCAAGTAATGCTTCATCACGCTCCAGAGAGAAAATAAGACCTTTGAGGGAAGCAAAAGGAGTTATTCACAGGAAATAACTCGGGATGCTCTGCACTCAGCCAGGCTTCTGGATGCAGTTTTGGGGTGCTGGAGCAGCCCCAGCAGCCAGTGATGCCATGGATCCCCTTGCCCAGCTGAGGGGAGATGGAGGTGAAACCTCATTTTTGCTTTCTAGGAAGGCTTTGGTCTGTGCTGGAGGTTCACAAGAGCAGCTGCTGCTCCCAAACAGCTCAGACAGCAGGGATGCTCCAAAGGGAGGTGCAGGACCTCTCCTCCCCAGCTCCCATTTCCTCCAAAAATCAGCTTAAACCAGCCAGGAGCAGCAGATTCTGCAGCAGCCTCCCCCCCATGCCCTGCACCTGCTCCCTCCACAAGGCTTTGGGATGGATGAGGAAGGCATTGGATTATTTTGTGTTTGGCAGGGAAAACCCCCCGACCCCCCTCTGGCTCCTGAGGCTCACCCCACACCCTGAGAGGCACCAGCAGCTCCATCCTCTGACCCAGCAGCACCCCGGGGAGCTGCCAAAGCCCTTCCTGCCCCTCAGCCCCACCCCAGAGCAGGCAGAGCCCCAGCCTGGAGCTCGCAGGGCTTGGGGAGGCACAGGCTGGTGTGTGAGCTCTGCTGGAAGCATCACCCCACATCCCAACGAGCTGCAGACCTTCCACCGTCACAGCCCAAACCAAAGCTCAGCTCCTTCCTCTGCACCAACAGGGAATTTTGTCTTCTCCCTTGGTAGCCCACACAGAGCCCCGAATTCGAATTCCAGCTCTGAATTCTGCCCCTCCACTTTCACTGTGGAGGCAAAGCCCTGAGGAGGAGGATTATGGCCCAAAGACTGGCAGCCCCCATAAAACTGTGGCCAAACCTGTGCCACAAAGGGCTCTCAGCCTCTCTTTTTAAGAAGAGCTGAGAGTAGGTGCATTTAGCAATAATTTCTTTTCTGTTCTGGCTGGTGAAAAGCATTTCTCAGTCATAGCAGCAATGAAGTCAAGGATGGGATGATGAATGTCTGCTCACAGGAGGAGCAGCAGCCTCTGGGACTCACCAGCAGCTCCTCCCCAGCCCAGTGCACAGCTTTTAACCCCATTATTGCTAAATGAAGAGGATCCTGTCAAATAAACACAGTCCACACAGCAAAGCCTGCAAGGACTCAGGTCTAATATGAGAATTATTAATTCAGGACTTCCACTGGTGCAGACTTGGGGTACAGCCCTAACAGCACAGAGAATGTTGCACTTACCTCGGGTGCTGGGAGGGCACAAATCCCTTGGGAAGGAGGAAAATCCCCACTCAGAGAGGCTCAGGAGGCTGCTGAGAAAGGAGCAGGGCTCTGCCCATCCTGCTTTTATAGGGGCTGGGGCAAACAGCAGCAGCTGTGGGTGCTGCACAGCAGAATCCCATCAGCTCCTCCATCAAACCCAACCGTGCCCAGCTGCTCCTGCAAACCTGGAGGGAATTAACTCCTCTTTCCCCGTGGAAGTGCCCTCCAAGGGCTGCTCCAGGTGCCAATTCCCAAGCCCAGTGCAGGGGATGCACAGGGAAGGCTCCAGCTGAGCTCCGAGAGGGTCCAGTGTGGAGCTCAATAGCTTTGAAGTCCTAAAGCTCCTTTAAAGAATTCTAAGTTTCAATGATTATAAAGCATTAAAGGGGCAAAATGAGAGAGGATACTTGATGTCTTATTTCATTGCCTCACCATAAAATCCTTTTTTATTCCCTTTAAAGCTCGGCTGTCAACTGAAATAAAACTCCAGATTTATTCCTGGGAAAGCACATGAGTAATGAAAAGAAAAGAGAATTAAGCACCAGCAGTGGATTGCACAAGGGAAAGCCCAGAGTTAACCCTCAAATCCATCCTTGGTGCTGTTGTGTCCAAAATTAGGGATGAAGTGGGTAGAAAGTGGAAAATGGTGGCACTGCTGCATGAGGAGGAGGAGGAGAGGGAGCAAAGGGGTGGTGGTGGGAAATGCTGGGAAGAAGAAAAGGAATCAGGGAAAGCAATTTTTGCTGGTCCTTCCCAGGTAAAATGAGGACAGTATGGAGAAAAATCTCTTTAAAAAACCCCCAAAACATACAAATGGCCTCTTGATGGACTTGTGTGAAAGCGATACAGCAAGAGGGGTGAGTGGTTTGGCAGGACCCACCAAACCTAAGCCAAAGTGATAAAAATACCCCTGCAAAGCTCTTGAAAGCTGCTTTAAACGAGAGTGACTTGTTTTGACACCGTTCCCTAAGAATGGCTGTAACACCAACAAAAATTAATCACGTCAAGCATTAATACTGATGCTGCAGGAATTCGACCAATGTGGTCCCAATTAAACATCAAATATGGTTACAATTTGAAAAATGACTGTGGGAATGTCATTGCGACATTCCCTGCTCAGATCCCTCCCAGCACCCACCCGGGTTCCTGGGTTTCCCTGGGGGATGCAGCCCCCACCTCCCTCCATCCCTGGAAGTGCCCAGGGCTTGGAGCACCCTGGGGCAGTGGAGGGTGTGCAACAAGGTGAGATTTCAGGTCTCCTCCATCCCTGGAAGTGTCCAGGGCTTGGAGCACCCTGGGGCAGTGGAGGGTGTGCAACAAGGTGAGATTTCAGGTCTCCTCCAACCCAAACCATTCCAGGATCCCACAATTCTGTGATTCCCCATCCTCACTGGTGGCTGTGGCAGGTCCAGGTGCCAAAATGCACCAGGAGGGCTTTTGAGTAATAAATTTAGGCCCTGTTTAACTCTTTGAGGTCTCATTGCATCTTTTTCCCTGCACGTGTGAAGGTGACAGAAACATCCTCTGCAACCTTGAAAGCTTCCCAGTCACTGGGCTCCAGAGGCTGGGATTTTATGGAAATCAGAGGCAGAGGGAATTGTAGCAGAACTCCAGGACTTGGCAGAGCTACTCCCTGGCAATAAATAACTTCCCTGACCAAGCAAAGCCCTTGTCCAACCTGCCCCTGCCAGGCCCAGCACAAGTCAGAGCAAAGGAGCTGATTTTATCCAGGATTTCCAGGCAGAGTAAATCAGCTGAGACAGGCACATCTGACCAGGACATTTTTTTGGCTGCAGCTGCTCCTCAGAGTAAATATATTCTTCCCAAACACTCCTGGATCATTTATTGCCTGGATGACAGACTGGGAGATCTATGGGACAAAGCTGCTCATGACTCCTCTGAGGCACTGGAGACGTTCCCAAAATCCAGGCCATGCTCCAGTGGAGGATCCACCCAACCATGAGTTGTCCAAAACCTCCACTTGTTTCTCAACCACCAAACACGTCTGGGACATGCAGGTCTCACAGACAACCCCTGGGTAAGGCCAAAAAATCCAAACTGGTTCTCCTGGGCAGCTTTGTGGCCATGCAATATTCTGCTTTTCTCCCAGACGTGCTGATTAGCACTGATGAAGATTAATCTGTGCAAACATGGATGTGCACCCTCATCCTCACCACGTTCTGTGTTACCAGAGAGGTCAGACAGGCCCGAGTGAGAAGAGCCACAGATATTCCTCTCACCTCCTCCCTGGCTCTCCAACTGGCCTCACTCACCCCCCTCTTGGAGCCAGCTGCAGCCTTCCAACTCGTTTTTTGGTTTTCCAGGGTCCTGGCTGAGATGGGAGACAGCAGCTGCCCCTGGAACCCCCCTGACTGCTGCCAGCTTCAGCTGGGGGGGGGAAGAAAAAAGACAAATCCCCCCCCATAATGCGAATACTTTATTATCAATGAGTGACTGGTATTAGCTTTTTGTCTGGGTATTAATAATATTTCAAAAAACCATACATCAAAATTAGGGCTTTCTCCTATTTTTGCTGTATAATTTTTGTTGGTTTTTTTTCCTTTTTTTTTTTTTAAAAATCTGTATTGAAAGAATTATATAAGCCAAAGTGCATTTTCCGTTTTTTGTCCATATACACATTGCACCATACATAAATAATTACATTGTAAAAATGACTCCATAATTACAAGTATAATATATATTTTCATATAATATATAAAACTTTATATTAAATCTAGGTAGATGATATTTGGGATAGTCTGTGTCTTTTTTTTTTTTTTTTTTTTTTTTTTTTTTTTTTTTTTTTTTTTTTTTTTTTTTTTTTTTTTTTTTTTTTTTTTTTTTTTTTTTTTTTTTTTTGCCGTTTCGTCGGAGGCGGACCGTTACCGGCTGTTGCTGAGTAGGATCTCCAGCCAACACGGACACGACGTGATGAACTGCCTGGAGTAACAGGGCCCCCAACCCTTGGCGAAGCTGATGCGGACGCTGTTGGGGTCGTAGGGCCCGTCTGCGTAATCCAGCTCGGCCGTGTGCTGCAGCAGGCAGGACTTCTCGTAGTCGAACACCTTGATGGAGTAGCCCGGCATCACCTTGCGCACGATCAGAGTCCTGCAGCTGGGGATGTCCAGTGTCGGGGAGTTGACGAAGATGGGATGCTCGCTGCGGTTGTAGGCCCACACCCCGTCCGGTTCCTTGCTCAGTAAAATCCCGTAGCCGATTTTACTTCGAGTCCTTCTCACAGTCTCGCTCCTGTTGTCCAGGTTTAGCTGTCCGAGGCAGAAGCCGTTTCCTTGAGGTAGGTCGTAGAAGATACTGACAGACTGTTCGTACACTGTGTAGAGGCGGCCCACGCGCGTCCGGTGCTCCCAGTAGGCCACGTTGCACCAATGGCTCCTCTTCACGGCATCGGGCGACGTGCTGGCGTCTGCGGGGAGAGAGAGGGGGTCAGGAGTGCTGGGATCACCTGGGAAACCACAGGGATGGGGCCTGGGATGGGGCTCCTCCCACCCAGCGGCTTTGCTCAGTGAGAACTTCAACTTGTGCTCAACCCAGCCCTGGTGTTCAGCGTAAGCTTCATGTTCAACCCAAAGACGGTGCTCAACCCAAAACTTGTCCTCAACACCAATTCCATGCTCTTCCCAAAAGTGGTGTTCAACCCAAAGATGGTGCTCAACCCAAAACTTGTGTTCAACCCAAATTCCATGCTCTTCCCAAAAGTGGTGCTCAACCCAAAACTTGTCCTCAGCACAAATTCCATGCTCTTCCCAGAAGTGGTGTTCAACCTAAGGGTGGTGCTCAACCCAAAACTTGTCCTCAACACCAATTCCATGCTCTTCCCAAAAGTGGTGTTCAACCCAAAACTTGTGTTCAACATGAATTCCATACTCTTCCCAAAAGTAGTGTTCAACCCAAAGATGGTGCTCAACCCAAAACTTGTGTTCAACACAAATTACATGCTCTTCCCAAAAGTGATGTTCAACCCAAAACTTGTCCTCAACACAAATTCCATGCTCTTTCCAAAAGTGGTGCTCAACCCAAAATCTGTGCTCAGCACAAATTCCATGCTCTTCCCAAAACTGGTGTTCGACCCAAAACTTGTCCTCAACACCAATTCCATGCTCTTCCCAAAACTGGTGTTCGACCCAAAACTTGTATTCAACACAAACTTCATGTTCAACCCCGTATTTGCGTTCAACTCAAACTTGTATTTAACCCAAAATCTGTGTTCACCTCAAAAGTTCTGTTTAACCCTAAGTTTGTGCTCAACCCAAAGTCCATCTTCAACCCAAGCTTGCGTTCAACCCAAATCCTCTCTTTGATTGTGTCAAATGCCACCAAGACTGGTGGCTCAAGCCCAGGCTGGAGACCCCACAGGACGGCCACCATCTGCTGTGAGCTCAGCACATCTCTCTCCATTTAATGTCCAACCCTGCCTCCACAGCTGGGTCCTCAGGATGTTTGCATTCCTCCCACCGGAGCCGGTACGGACACAGTCCCGGTATCCTGAGCCTGGTGGCTCCCCAGCACCCCTGTGCTCCTGCAACCCCAATTTCCAAGCCCAAACTGTGCCGATCTGACCCCCAGGGATGTCCAGGATGAGTGACCCGCCGGGTGTCTCCTCTGTGTAATGTTCTCTGACAGCGACGCTCATGTTCCCGTGGGGAACGTGAAATCCGAGGAAGTGTTTCGTGCCAAGGGGGAGTAGCTGCTATGAACTATACATGTCCTTCTAAAAACCCACTGGAGCTCTCTCCAGACAATGAGAAACATCTCTTCTTTCTAGGAATTACACTCAGAGAAGACAGGAGGAATGCAGGCTGCCAGAAATCTGTTTAATCTCTGATGCCTCCAGAATTTATGATGTCTCCAGAAGAAAGACAGGCAAAGAAGGAGCCCCGAAGAGGGGCTGAATTAACCACTTGCTGAACATCATTCCTGCTCCCACCACACCGCTTAAGGGAAAACCGCCGTGGGATTTCCAGCAAGGAGCCGTGCTCCGTGGCCGGCATTCAGCTCCCTGACAATCCCTCCCGTGCCCGCGGCCTGCTGACCCCGGTGCCTCCGTGCCATCACGTCCCATTAACTCGCCCGCGGGGTGACGCCCTTATTTTGCTCCAGAGCCCCCATTGACACACGGGATTTCAGGCACAGCCCTCCAGCCCCGCTCCTCTCCAGGCTCAAATTACCCCGGAGGTGACCGGGCTCCCCTCCCCATTACCCAGCTTTGAATTAAGCGGCTTTGTTGGAGTTTAACGGGAGTTGTAACTATACAAATTTAAGGGGAGGGCCGTGGGGGAGGGGGTGACGGGGCAGGCAGCAGGATGCCCTTTGCTGTGGGCAATGCTCATCGGCCCGAAGCAGCCCCTTCACCCACCACAGGTCACATTTTTTGGGGGACCATGCCAGTTTTTCCCCCTTCACCCACCACAGGTCACATTTTCGCAGGAACCATATCAGTTTTTTCCCCTTCACCCATCATAGGTGACGTTTTTGGGGGGACCATGCCAGTTTTTCCCCCTTCACCCACCACAGGTCACATTTTCGCAGGAACCATATCAGTTTTTTCCCCTTCACCCATCATAGGTGACATTTTTTGGGGAGGACCATGTCAGTTTTTTCCCCTTCATCCACACCACAGGTGACATTTTTGGGGACACCATCTCAGTCCATCCCCCTGCCATCAACTGGGACAACTTCCACTAAACCAGCGTGCTAAGAGATCCATCCATCTTCCACAGCATCCAGTTTCCACAGTCATTTTCCCCCTGGGACATCCTACAGATGCTCCCAATGCCTTCCCAAAGCTCTCCCCAAACACTGAACTTTGCTGTTGTCCCACTCAAGTGATCTGGGGGCTACAGACCAGCTCAGGACCTTTCATGTGCCGGGGCTGGAGGCTGGTAGCAATTACTGAGCTCTGCATCTGTTTAACCTCCCAACCTCCTCAAAGCCCTCCATGCCCATTAGCTATGTTGCTTTTGTTATTACATTTTTGAGAAACTACTGCTCAGCCCCTGCATTTCCCTTACAGATTAAGGATGGGACAACTTCAAACCTTCAGTGTCCCCCGCAGCTCCATTAATCAGGGGAACAGTCAGCAATAAACATTTAAATAGGAGTTTCTCATGGTTTAGTGCAAATTAATGTACAAGGAGGGGAATGTAAAGCTGGAGGAAAACAGTGCCTATCCTACAAAAATATTTTGCTGGAAGTGCCAACAGCCCTGGTGCCATCTCTGCTTTCCAGGAACTGGGAAATATCTAAGCAAAATAATCCATGAAAACATGGATGGTTTTCACACGCATTTGAAATAGCTTTATTAAAAGCATTTCCGTGCAACTTCTGGCAGGAACTTCCCTCCATCCATCCAGGAATGCACCCCCCTGCCCGTGAGCTCCTGATCTCTGTCACCCCACAGCTCCTGGCTGGCAGTGCCAGCTCTGCCAGCTCCCAGCACTCCTGGAGGAGTCCTGTGCTCCTTCAAACAGGCGACGACGTGTTTCAGGTAAGTGCACCTCAAGAAGTGAGAAGTTTCCTTTCGACCCACTTCTTCTGGCCAAGGGAGAGGAGAGTCTTTAAAATCCAAAAGAAGCAACCCACAGAGAAATAACCCCCTGGAAGGGGACAGTTCAAGGCTCATCTGAGCAGCCCCTGCCTGCAGGGTCCCTCTCCCGGCGCTCCCCGTGCTGCGGTGGGTTCCTCTCCCTCCTTTTATCTCCCAGTGCACTCAACCAATTCCTGCAAAGATGAACTCATCCCGCAGCCCTGACATAAAACAAGCACTTCAGCAAGCCCCCAAATCAGGGGGGCCTGTGCTGTGTCTCATCCCCTGCCAAGTATTAGTTTCGCCTCCAGCTATTAGCCACTACCACTCTGCAGAGAGCAGGGGCGGCCGGCACAGCACCTCCTCCTCCTCTCCTTTTAAATAAATATTCCACTTTTCCCTCCTCTTTTTTTTTTTTTTTTTTTTCCATGCTGCCCTTTATGCACAGACAAGAAAATCCACTTTTTGTTCTGTTTTTTTCCCCCCGCTCCCACTTCTGCTGGAACAGAGGCGGGCTTGTTAGCGTTCTTTTTGAAGAAAGGAAAATATTTGAGTCCCGCAGTGGTACAGGAGGGGTTTTTAACAACTATCATTGTAGGCAACTACAACTTGTAGCAGCTCCAGAGGGGCTGGCGTCAGGGCTATCTCCTCCATCAAAGCCACCTTCATCCATCAGATGGAGGGGCTGGAACTCTGCCTTGTGTTTACTCCTTCCTCCACCACGTTTCCTCCACATCCCAAAGTGAATTCAAACAATTAAGAGATAAAGGAACAAGGCAGGAGAATCCAACCCAGAATTTAAAGGGAAAAGGCTCCTGCGTGGCTCAGGAATCTGGGTCTGGGAATAAATGCAGAGAGCAAACACTGTAAATCCTCCCAGGGTTAGCAGCACTGCTGCTGTCACTCCCTGCGGAGTGTGGAGGTAAAGAAAATAACTTGAGGTTTGAGACTATTTGTGATTTGACAGTGTTTTATGCCAGTAAAGTTCAAAGGAGCGCTTTAGAAGTGAAAAGAAAGATGCTTTTTTTCCAAAACAAAATGCTGCACAGTCCCACACTGCTTGGTGTTGCACTTGAGAGAAGGATGGAAAACACGGGCAGATCACGAAACACATGAAAGAAAACTGCTCTGATTCACTCTCTGGCTTTTCCAAAGCCACCAAACCTCCTCTCAGCAGCTCAAAAGCCAAAAGCCCCCTCAATTTGTGGCTGCAAGGAAGAGCTTCTCAAAACACATTGAAGAGGTGCCCACAGGGAAGACCATGCACATGAGAAATAAATCCCTGCACTCTCCAGATGTGATGGGGACCTGAATGCACATCTGGGCAACCTGGAAATGAAGCAGGGTATTCCAAAGTGCCCCCACCACAGAGCCCACTCCCCATTCCCACGTCCCTCCCTGCTGCACTCCTGTGTCCCAGGGCAGCCTCACAACACTCCACTGGCCATGGAGCTCAGTTCCATCTCCCTCAACACCTTTCCACTCACTTTTACTCCACTTTTGGACTATTAGACCCATGCTCAGTTGGTTTTCTTCCCCTCTGCCACAGCACAGATCTGTATTTACACTGCCCAACACACAGGAGCAGGGAAGCAGGAAGGTTACAGCCATACACAGGTCACTGTCAACAGGGTGCAGATAAAAAGCCCAGCACAAAGAACACACACATTTCCCCAAAATCTATTAACAGTTCACTGAGGAGCCATCAGTTAAAATAATCCCTCATTAATACTCCTGGAAGCAAGCACCAAGGTTAGGAAGGGGTTAAAATTTTCCACAGCAGAAATGGAATTTTTATGGCCCCGCAAAAAAAAAAAAGAGAAGAAAAAAAAGAAGAAAAAAAAGAAATTAATTGTCAATCTGCCCCAGCAAAGCTCACA